CTGTTGGTTTGTTCTAGATCTTTAGTTGTAAGCTGTACAAACAGTTCCATATGTGGGACTTCAGAGAAATTGGGGGTGTACCAGCTTTTTGGTTTTAGGTCAGTCATTGGTCTTGGTGAATCGTTTTTAAGTGGGTATAGTGAGGGTTTGTAGATGGGTATAGTCTTGAATATGTAACCTTAGGTCCTTGACTAAATTTTCTTGTTTCTTTTTGAATGACTTCAAAAAAAAGGCCATTCAAACTTATCCCAAGATGGTGTTGGGACAAACAACAGTTCTTTATTCAGCAGAGAGAGGTGTCTGGGGAGTAAATTTAAATCTGACAAATGGAAATTTATTTTTAGGCTAATATTGCTGTGGTCTTAGGGGAGATTTGTAGGTCCATTTTACCCTGTCTCAGTTTTGTCCTCTGTTTGCAGGGAGAGCCTTGATATAAAATTTGGAGCAGAGTGGCTCCACATGATGTAGGGGGGAATAGCGACGCCATTGGTTGACTGTAATAGAAATAGTGACTGGGTAGCCATTTTATTAGTCTCCCATGCGCATCGGTTGGTGGGATTTAAATAATGTGTCCATCCCCCTTTCCAAACCATAGCCAGAGGGAAGGGGGACATTCTACTGTCTCACCATGCTCCTACCCCTAGTCAGTGGGTAGGGGCTACTTACACATAGACGACGGCTCTATACATAATTCATGGGGGTCCTAGTTATTCCCCAGCATTCACCCGTAAGTGGTGAGTGGGGGCTTTTACTAAATATAAAACGGTGGGTGGACATGCCATTGTCCTTTCTCCCCAATTTGCCAATATGGCTTGTAAGCCGACCAATCAGAGATCTCTGACACGCTATTCTCACTTCTCTTGAGACTTTTCATGGGAATAATCAATAGTTTTTTATTACGGTAGGAATTTTCACCAGCTTTTGAACATCTGTATCTTGTTAGTTAAATGGTTAATTTTTACACTTTCAAACACATCAAGTTTTAAAAAAAAAAATGCTACTGTCCTCAAGTTAATGCACATTTCTTTATTGACCGAACATTATATAATAAGAATATGTTGACAGAATGTATCATATAACTTATAGAGTAACAATACTGTTTGTGTTTTATTTTAATAAACATTAAAAATCACTTTAACTATAATTCTGAACATAACATGTTATTAACAAGTTCAATATACATGGTGCTTTAAAATGTCAACAACTGTGTTAGATTTTAGTTTTCACAATGTAAGCAACACATTCCATACGACTTCTAAAATAAATACATGTATATAATTAAAGTAAACTTTAAATAAAATAACAAAAAAAAAACAAAAAACTTATAACTGTTTCACAAACACAAAGCTCAATATCTCACTGCAAAACCTTATTACTGAAGAAGCTAATTAGAGTATAATCTGATTGGCTGCGTGACGTCATCACGCACGCCACACCTCCCAGGAGTATCCTGAGGACTTTGCCAATCGTGAGGGTGCACAGACAGAATATTTTAGCCGGCGGATGCACAAACCCACTTAAGGACGGTCTTCTACAGGGATCCGGATTTTATATATGTATGCTGTTTTTATCTGTGGAAATAAACCATCTTTCTTTATTGGCTGCAATGGATTAATCTGCATTTGGAGCTGTCAGAAGTAGAGCAGGCTCATCTGCTCTCTGCTAGTGAGTGAAAAATCTTACACACATGCTGTATTACTGTTAAATAGCAATATTTCACTATATATGTTTTTCATTTTTATTCTTTTTTATGTACTTTATCTGGAGATTGAGAGTTATTCCCAGTATATGATTTTAAGTAAGTGTACCACTTTTTTAATACACTAAGTCACTTTTTGGTATTAAGAATCTTTATATAATACACAGTTAAAGAGTATTAAGAGTGTTTAAATATAACACTTGTATATTTGCACAAAAATTGTGTACACTATCTCACTCTTTTCGTATAGTGAGTTGAATTTATATTTCACAAATAATTAGTGCACTTATTCTATGTTTTGATTCTATTGTTGGGTGTTAGGAGCTGATACACTTTATAGGTGCTGCTTTTAAATAAGGTCACTATCACTATTATAAGTGCCTTTTTTCACTTGTTATATTATAGTTCTAATTAGAGTATACACTATTCAGTTTTGATGTCACTTGTATGACATATTTACATTGCCACTACAGGACACCAATCAATTCCATCACTACCCTTCTTGAGAGAGCCATTGCTATGGGGGTGGGGGTGCCTAAATGCCATAAACCTCTTAATTTTAAACAACCTTTCCTTATTAGTTGTAAAGATCGATGGATTGTGTCTAGACAGAAGGATCCATATAACATTCTAACAGAGACAATACATCCATCTCTGACCACCATTAATGGAAGGCACAATTAAGGAAAAATGTATTGTGATTGGATTCAACCCCCAACTATGACTCTAAAAGAATGTGGTGACTGGAGCAGATTGGTGAGCGGGTATGGCAGTATAAGTATATCATAGGCACAGTTTAGCAAATTGTGTGCAATATTTTAATAAAATTAGCACAATATGGAAAAAAGTTTGCACAACTAAAAATAAAAAAGTGGGTACCGTGGACCGCTTCAACAGCTGCTGTAAAGGTAAGTGAGTTTTTAGAGAGTATTCAAAGGACAATTAATACATGGACTGTAATAAAGACATTATGTAACTGGAAAGGGTTTACAGAAAGAAGAAATCAATAGGGAATATCAAGATAGTACATATAAAAGCAGATGAAATACACAGACAGTGTAATGCACTGTTTATGGTGCCTTGTGTGCCCACTGATAAGAATCTGATCATTTTCAAAGTGTTTGACAATTTTTGGCTCCCCAGGGTGCCCATGGTATGACCTCCATCTCCGATTCAGATAAAGCTGGAGTCAAAGGCTTACTCCAACCATTTTTAAGCTGTTGTTATTTTCTTTCTTTTTTTAATGAATATGTGGACATTAATCTTTAGGAACTCACCCCAATGTCTGACTGTCCGGAACAGAGTACCAGGCTGCCAAAGTTACATGTGCTGAGGTTGTAAATAGCACAAAAGTGTAACTATCTCTTCTCTTTTTCAAGCAGAAATGCTGCACACTCAGAATTCTTCCTCCATGACCACTTATAAAAACAAAAGTGGTCATGGAGGTTGGAGTACCCCTTTAATTCTTTCCCATTAGATATATTAATTTTATAATTGTTTAGATGTCTGCAGCTATTTATTCCGCCCATGTAAAATTTACATCAATATTGTGGAAGCAATATCTGAAGGTGAGGCCGGACTGAAGCTTTTAGGGGAACCATGTTACAAAGTAGGACACCCAGGGGATTAAATCAAGCATTGCTTCAAGGGACTGCTGTCACTATAACTACTACACAGCACGTTTAGGTTTAGAATTTTTTTTTTATTATTTCTTTTTGTAGAAAGGTTTATTTACTAAATAAAGAATTGCGAACTGCCAGAAAAATGTCAAATTTGAGGTTAGAATAGCTGAATTGGAGAATATTTACAATTCACTTGTTTTATACTCACATATCGTCAATTCTATAATAGTGATTAAACAGCTTTTTTTCATTTTTTTTTTTTAAATCAAAGTCAGTTAATGACATTATTTTATTCCTACCAAACACAATTGGAAGAGGGTATTTTTCAGAACTAGCAAACACAGCTATTCATATGGTTTCTTAGTTTAATTCATCATGTCACTATCAATTAGGAAATATGTGCAGTAAACTAATTAAGAGGCACGGTCTCCCACCCCCCACTGAAATTCCAACCCAGTCAAAAGAGGACTACTTTGTCTCTGTATTTTCCTATGTCTGACACTTCTAGACACTGGGATGAGCTACAGCTGTCAAGCAGTGTCAATCATTCAACAGCTGCAGAGATAATAATTGTATCTATAGATGGTCTTGCATAGACCACAATGCTATACTCTTGCGCAAGAGCCAGGAGCAGAAGAGGACCAGCCAGATGAAAATTGTGGCTCCTGTGAGGGACATTTTTCGTGGAATAAATATGTTATACTAAAAAACACTTTACTAGAATTTTAACCTATTATGATGATGCAGTCATACAAGAGAAAAGTAGTATTAACAAAAGCATAGAGAAATTGCTTAGACAAAACAGTGACTTTAATCTGATTTTTTTCAGAGTTAGAATAAAATGACACTTTATGCAATGCACCATAAAAACTAAGACTAATTTTGAGATATGCAATGGGTGCTATACCCCAAAACAAAACATTTTGCAGAGTTTTGGTTAAAAAACGGTCTCTCTCCAGTACCAAAAGCTGGTTCAATCTGCAGCTGGTTGTATAATGCAGAAGACACACTTCTGAATTATATGTCCAAAGCTGTAAAACCTTGGACGACAAAGATTGTCAGAGAACACTGGGTGGAGCACGTGACACATCTGCATTATCTTGGCTGCAGCAGAGGGCTGGAATTTGCAAGAGCATTGTTTTTTTAGTCAAACCACTCAAAAACAGTTTGACAATAACTGTATGGACTGCAACCAAATATGCCTTGCACCATACCACTGCAATTACCTGCTGTGGTTAGAGTGCTTGGAGTGTGCCTTTCAGCTTGTGATAGTTTTTCCGCTAATTTCAAATTCGGTAGTTCTGCTAGAATGCCATCTTAGTATTAAAAAAGCAGAAAAATATGCAAACTAATTTCACAAAATTCACATGTACCCATGGAAAATGAGGTAAAGTGCAGTAAGTTGCCTAAAATGCTTGGAATTCAAACTGCTAAGAGACCAGGATTGTTTGTTCAATCTACAAAGCAGAAAACGATATTCCGTGCACATCAAGCTATTAGCACCATGGATATACTTTGTTGGACTTCTGTGAGGTGGAATTAAAACATTCTGATAATCTTAGCACAGTTTAGATGCATATTTAAGTACCATCAGGCATGACTGAATGTCTGATGTATGAGGCATCAAGCAGCTTTGAAATGTTGAGGATAATATGGCACTATTCTTCATAACAGAAGCTCTATTTCCCATCTGTTTGCACATAGATCAAGAGACAGGCTGTTACACCCCTGAAATAAAAGAAAAGGCTGTATTAGTCAGTAATATAGTTGTGAGAAAGCACTATATGTGGTGTCCTTATATTCTCAAACACCAAAAACAGTCTTCTTGGGATGCTACAGAGTGATAAGATCAGAGATACTACATTATTAAGGACATTGAAACATTCTAGATCATAGTATAACTATTGTACGATCGATCTCACTTTATCTAAATAGCCACTCTATATGTTAGTGAGTGTTGCAGCGCAAATGGTATATTGCTTGACACTGTATACCTTTCATAAACTGAAATGTGAAAATAAATTGTAATCATTTTTTTTATCTAAAGGTTAGATTTGTTAAGATGACAAATGTAACATCTTACAAATAATCAGCTGGTTACAACATGTCATCAAATAATGGAATTGTCCGCTTTGTACATGCAAATACAACATTTTATTGAATCTGTTACATTGTATTATTTATGTGAGATGTGCATTAAAGGACACTAAAGGCAGATGTGCTTCCACTGCAATAACTGAGTTAGACTTGGTTATTCAATTAATGTTTCTCATAGAGAACATTTGACTGACACAGCGCAGCAACTAGTTGCACACACGTGCTAACCTCCCAATGCTTCCCTAAGAAGAAGCATTGGATTGGCTGAAATCATGAAGACTGATGATATCAGCTGGGGAGGCAGGGCGGCCGCCATAAGACCAACATGCTTGGAGATATAAGGTTAATAAATCTTACTTTTTAAACCTTTTAATCCCTCAGAATTTAGGACACCTAAATAAATAGTAAGGAGAACACTATAGCATTAAGAATGCATGTTTGTATTCCTAACGCTATAGTGTTTTTTAACTGCATGTAGGAGTACATGGAATTCTAATCATTATGTTTGTTGTATGGGGGGCGGGGCCTGACCCTTAAACTGAATGGATGTGCGGCACAGGAGCTCCAGCAGAATTGCTCCAAAATAGCGTATTTACCCCAGCTTTGCCTCGGACACGTCCAATCCTGTGCCCACACTAAGTCAGGAAAACTCTGGCAAGCTATCCGACAACCCTCCAACAGGTTTACACTGCCAGGAGACGGAGAATACAGGTGTTAGCCTACCGGGGACGGAGACGGGGAGAGGCGGCCGATCTCCTCTCCCTCGAGTCGGTGGTTCGGACCAGAGGCAGCCCAGACCTCCCCCCATCTCAGACCACTGGGGGATATCCTGGTCCGTCCTAGCGAGACACATGCTATCAGTGTTGTGGAGGAATCTCCAACGTGATACTCACTCAGAGCGAGACAACTCCAACCAACATGGCGGACAACACAGAGCCTGAGACACAAGGCCCGGCCCCAGGCCACGAAGCAGACTCCACAGCTCACTTATGCAGCACCTCAGCTAAATCTTTGCCCGCTTCTGGGTCATGCTGGAGGAGAGAATAAAACAGACGCACCCTGACACGAGCCAGGTAGGGGATGAGGAGCGTTACGGCAGAGGGAGACCTGGGGGTTCCACTGTGCACCATTCTACTGTGCTGCCGGATGCCCCTCCAATCCCTGCCAAACCTACACTGAGACCCATCCAAAGACTCACTCTGCTGCAAAAGCCGCGACACTGGCGAAAAGCAAGGTATTGGAGACGCAGACCCCACCAGACACCCAAGCCTGCGCGCTCTTTCCGGAATGGGAAGATCGAGGTGGCCAGAACTCTGCAAGCAAGCAGCACCAAGAGACATGCAGTTCCCATGGTCTGGAACCGGGAGGTAGCAGCTCACCTATGGCACAGCAGCGGCAATCAACCAAGCAGACTGCAAGAACATGTGGAAAGCCTACCCGGCATGGGTATAGGGTTACTACCATGTTTTCCCCCACAGGTGCTGCCCAAATGTGTGGACACTGTGCCCTCCTCACCTCTGGCACTATAAGCCTGATATGACAGAGCTTTCACACTACCTTTTTACTCATGTCTACCACAGCTCCTGTATACTAATTCTCCACACCCTGACATCGCAACATACCTAATCTAATGCTAGCCTTCTTACTCACACTCTGTATTCTCTCTGGTCTTAAGATCAAATCTGTGTCCTATATCTATGTCTTAGCCTGTTTCCTAAAAGTATAAAAAAGTGCAACTTCTCCTTATGCCATGGCACTATATATGTCTCTGAGTCAGCAATAAGCTTGTCATTGCTGTTGTGGCATCACAAGCCTGTATGTCTTTTATTGCCCATACTCCTGTATCCGTCACTAGTGAGACCTTGTTTAGAAATCAGAGTAAGTACCACACCACATCGTTTTATTAACAAAGCAAGCAGCATCTTAAAGGAACACTATAGTCACCTAAATAACTTTAGCTTAATGAAGTGGCTTTTGTGCATAGATTTCACTTCTCAATTCCATTTAAGAGTTATATAACTTTGTTTCTGTATGCAGCCCTTGTCATAACTCCCCTGACTCTGATTGACACAGCCTGCATGAATAAACAAATTGTTTCACTTTCAATCAGATGTAATTTACCTGAAACAATTGTATCTCTTTCTCTGTAAATTGAACTTTAACCACATACAGGAGGCTCTTGCAGGGTCTAACAAGCTATTAACATAGCAGGGGATAAGACAATCTAAATTAAACAGAACTTGCAATAAAGGAAGGATAAACTTTAGATGACTCTTTGCAGGAAGTGTTTAGGAAGGCTTAACAAGTCACATGGAGGGAGGTGTGACTTGGGTTCATAAATGGCAGAGAATTGAGCAGTGAGACTGCAGGGACATGATTTATACACCAAAACAGCTTCATTAAGCTAAAGTTTTTTTGGTGACTATAGTGTCCCTTTATTTTATTTTTAAATTCTTTATTTTGTCGTGCATGGATTATACAAATGACGTTTACGCCAGCAGTGCCACAACAGCTAATGCCAGAGTTTCCATAAACATATAAAGACAATTGTATGGCATGGATAAACTGTGCATATTTTTAAATTTACACCCTGTTCCAAATTCTATTTAAGTGTCACAAAGATTAAATATTTAGTTTTTCAGTTTAACTCATGGATGGCATTGTGTCTCAGGGTTCTTTTGATCACTGAAAACAATCTCGGACACCTGTGATAATTAGATTGCCAGGTGAGCCCAATTTAAGGAAAAACTACTAAAGGAGGGTAGAAAGGCAAGAAATGGTGTACCTAGGAAAATAGTAAACTGTAAGTACGAGAATTAATGTCTAAGTCTACAAGGAGAATGTCGATCAGACAAAGTACTCTACTGATAAAACTGAAGAAAAATAAATCAATTTTATTATGAATACATATAATGTCAAAGAAAACCAAAAGTGCTAATGTACACACAAAAAGAAATAAGTGAACCTAAAAATAGGTGCTAAAACCGTTACCCTTGATAAGAGTAACCTAAATACTATAGAAACAAATGTTCCAATGGTACAGACTAAATAGTCCGTTTGACACTGCGTATGAAATCTGCAGATAAGGATATGAAAAAAGGTATCTAAATATCGATTCCCAAATGCTCTCTCTACTAATAATAACATCCCTTACAATTACTTCATATAGAGAGATCCTTATTGGTGCCAGAGACACTGGGTAGGGGATACTGCTATGTGCAAGAACGATAGCAGACTACTATGGCAAGTATAATAAAGAGATACAGGTGAAACAGATTTTTATTATTAGTCATAGCCTTCTGTCACTCAGCTGATGTAGTCTTCTGTGCCCAATAAGTGCCTATCTAGGTATTAAAACTGCCAATATTAATAAATTGTGGGAATGAATAGCGATCTCCACAGGATCGGTAAAACAGATTTAAAGGCACTAGGCAGAAGGTATCGATATGATCTCCAAGAGTAGGCTATCTGTTAAATGGTCTGCTATAAATTATAAATGTTAAGTTGTTACAATTAGATACTCGATACAAACTGTATCTAAGAGGGAAAGTTAGATAAAAGCGAACTAGCACTTAGCAAGTACTAGGGCTGAAAATATCCTATGCTTATTATTCTCCCTGTGCCTTCAAGAGCACCTGTCTCTAGTCACCAATTACTGCTGGGTACTAAATCCTAATCAACAGAAATTATAAGAGATGAAAAATAAAGTAAATATTCAAACTAAGTAGTACGGTCGCAAGTCTATATACCGAACTCTAAAAACCATAAGAGTGGCACACTGCAGACTTCAAAGCTGTATCTATAAAGTGAAGTAAGATAAAAATGAACTAGCACTTAGCAAGTATTAGGGCTGTAAATATCCTGTACTTATAGTCACCCTGTGCCTTCGAGGGCACCTTTCTCTAGTCCCACTTGTAACTAGACACTAAATCCTAATAGACAAAAATCATATAAAACAAAATAAAATAAAGTAAATATTTAACTGGGTAGTGTGGTCGCAAGTCCATGTGCTAAATTCTAAATCTATAAGAGTAGCACACTGCAGACCCTTAAGATGAACTAGCATTTAGCAAGTATTAGGGCTGTAAATATCCTGTATCTGTATTTACCCTGTGCCTTCAAGGCACCTGTCTCTAGTCCCACTTGCTGCTAGACACTAAATCCTAATAGACAGAAATCATATTAAATGAAAGAAAATAAAGTAAATATATGGATAAATGGCGCGGTCGCAAGTCCATGTGCTAAACTCTAAATCCATAAGAGTAGCCCAACCTGGCGTTTCGCCCAACCTGGCTCGTCAGAGGGGAACCGGTCGGTACATAGCATCTGGTTTAAATATGCAGAGGAGTCTTTCTATTGGTCAGATGTGGCAATTCCTAATTGGTTATGTGAGTAATGACGTAGCGGGGATTCCCTCAGGAGGAGGGGAAATCTCTTTGGTAAATTAGTTAACCCCTTCCTAGATGTATAGCGTTAATTATACTTCTAGCTATGACATCAACATAAAAGTTTGATAACTAGGTTATCACAATGGGGGTACTATTAAAATGAAGTGAAACCACAAAAAGTAATAGTTATTTAGGACCTTCTTTGTAACATACTAAAGGTAAGGTCACTGTATAATGTATGTGAATTAGAAACCTCCTAACGAAATTGAATTCAATTTAAACTTTTACCCTTCATAGAACGAGTGTCACAAGTGGTCAGAACCCATTGAGGGCCAAATCAGGATATAAAATGGTCGGATTCCAATGAGTCCGATGTACAGAAATATGTATTGCTCATACTGCAATGCCACAGTAATAGATAATGGTCATTTGGAAAAACAACTACTGTAGAATAATATCATCATTGGTGTATGAAGGGAGTAAAATTGAATTCTTCATTAAGGCCGTCTGGTGACAGTGTTTTCAGATAGTAAATCCATCTTGACTCTTTCATAAGTAATGTTTTATTAAAATTCCCATTTCTAGTGTTCAGGGTAAGTTTTTCCAAAGCCTGAAACGTTAAGTTTGTAGAATCAGCCCGATGGTAATTGCGGACATGGTTTGATACTGGGGCGAAATATTCGGATTCGTGATCGAGCAAACATGCTGTAGTATCCTACGTTTGAATTGCTGGTAGGTTTTACCTACATATTGGATGCCACAGCTGCAAGTAATTAAATAAATCACCCGTGTGGAACTGCAGTTGATAAACTCCTTGATTATATATTCCTTTTTTGTTTTGGAGCTAGATTCCAGTTGTTTGTGTTAACCAGGTGGATTGTGGTTATTTAATTGGTTCAGTATGGCTATGGACCAAAATATCTTCCAGATTTTTTGCCCTGCATGCTGTAATTTGGGGAAATTTACCAATACTGTCACTTAGATCTATGTCATGTTGTAAAATTGGCCAATTATGGGATATTATTTTTTGTACTTTATCCCAATAGAGATCATAGGTGCCTATACAGCGAGTCATCTTTGTTTCGGTCTTAGGTTTGATGTTTCTTAAGCTTTCGCTCCTATTAGTTGTCAGTGCTCGTTGGTAGGCTCGTTTGAGAATTCTATTGGGGTATCCCTTCTGTTTGAACATAATCCTATATAACGTTAGAAAATTATTAGATATTTTGGATAAGGCCCATAGACAAAAGATGCCCCTCCTGGGCCTGCCTTTAGACGCGGAGAAAGAGTTTGACAGGGTCGGGTGGGGTTATTTAGCGGAGCTCTTGACGGCTTTTGGCTTTAAAGGCTGGATACACAATGCAATTTTGGCTTTGTATTCTACCCCTTCTGCCAGAACAGTCGGACCCAATATATCTGCAGGATGGTTTGACCTTCGAAATGGTACAAGGCAGGGGTGTCCTCTATCCCCATTAATATATATTTTATCACTTGAGCCCCTTTCCATGTATATTAGAAACAATCCTTTTATTAAGGGTGTACCGATAATAGATAGGGATTTAAAGATTTCTTTATATACTGACGATGCATTAATTACTCTTTCCTCTCCAGAAGACTCTATTCCACTTAATGCAAGAGATTGATAAATATTCCAAGGTTTCGAATTTCAAGCTAAACATTGTGAAATCGACCGCCCTGCATATGAATATAGATAAATCAATTATAGAGAGGCTATCGCATATATATAATTTTATTTGGACTAAAAACGAATTAAATTATTTAGGTTTAATTATTCCTGCAGATGTTAATATTACAATGGAGAAGAACATATTAAATCTAATGAAAAATACAAACTTGAAATAAAAAAAATGGAAAAACTTGGAAACCTCTTGGTTGGGCAAAATAAATATTATGAATTCATATATACTGCCAAAGTGGTTGTATCTCTTCTCCATTATCCCGCTCAAAATTTCAAAATCATGGTTGACAATGATACAAACAAGTTTCTCAAAGTTTATTTGGAAAAATAAAACCCCTAGAATTAGTCAAAAAATCTTATCAAAAAAATTATCGAAGGGAGGTTTAAATTTCCCAAATATTACTTATAATTATTATGCCAATATGATTAGACATATACACCTACTACAAGATCCCTTGATGTTCCAAGAACCTGGGTTTATTATAGAGTCCGAAGCCTCTCATATCCCGAATTTACAATATGTTATGTGGACGCCTGATAGGAACAAAATAAATATGTCTCAAATTAATTCTACTATTCTACTTCAATCTTTAGAGGTCTGGGAGGAAATTAAGAAAACTTTGGGCTTTCGGCAATTAATACCTAGATCGTGTAGACTTAAGATATTAGAGAGAAATATTGATGATCTTCTTTTAAGCCACTGGGCAGATACTGATAAGCTAAGGATCTCCGATCTTATGCTGGGCGAAAATGTAATGCCTTTCCAACAAATTGTTGATATTTTTCATATACCATCTAGGGAAATCTTTACCTATCTCCGAATCAAAAACTATAATGATAAGAATGTTATAAAAAGCTCTTCTCCACTTGATATGCATTCAGAGTATATTTTTAATTTTAGGTCCCTAAAGAAGGTTACTTCGGCCGCAAACCGTTTGGTAGATCTCCTAACTATCATTCCTCATAAACTCATTAAGACATGGCAGTGGCGTACATACCAGGGTCGCAGGGGTCGCGGCTGCGACCGGGCCCGGCCCACCAGGGGGCCCAGCCGCCCCTGCGACCCGGTGTTTGCCACAGGGCCAGCCTCTTCCCCTGGGGGGCCCAGGAGCCGACCACCCCAGGGCCCCCCGAGGCTGGCCCTGCTGACCCCAGCGGGTGGGTGGCTGGTCGGGCAGGCGGGCGCGCGAGGGGGCACTCAGTGCTTCCTCGCGCACCGCACTGATACCGGAGCCGGAAGATGACGTCATCTTCCGGCGCCGGCATCCCTGCGCGGCGCGCGAGGGAGCTGAAGAGGAAGCACTGAGTGCTCCCTCGCGCGCCCGCCTGCCCGTCCGGCCACCCGCCCAGGAGCCCAGCAGCACCACTGGACCCCAGGTGCAGGGTTTTCAGCTGCAGGTGTTTTCAGCTGCAGGGTTAAAACTAGAGGGACCTGACACCCAGACAACTTCATTGAGCTGATGTGATCTGGGTGTCTGTAATGGTCCTTTAAGTGTGTGTGCATCTGCATGCACTGGCGTACATACCGCGGTCGCAGGGGTCGCAGCCCTGTAACCCCTGCAACCAGGTGCCCACCGCCATGTGTTGCGGCCCGGCCCGCGCACGCGGGGGGGGCCCACGGATCAATTTTCGCACCGGGGCCCCATGGGTCATGTGTACGCCACTGAGACATGGTAACAAGAGTTAGAAATTGAGATCTCTGAGGAGGACTGGTGCATTTCATTAACACATATTGGTAAACATATTCACTGTTTAAACTTGGTAGAATGCCATTTAAACTGTTGTACAAATGGTATTTCACCCCAGTAAGGATAGCCAAAATGTATGAGAGCTATGATCCCACATGCTGGAGATGTGGTAGTTTTACAGGGTCATATATACACATATGGTGGTCCTGCCTGATAGTTCGCCCTTTATGGTCTTGGGGAAAGGGAAAGGAAAGAAAAAAACAAAAAACAAAAAGATATTTCACGAAAACTTAAGCGTGATCATCGCACTATTAAGAGATTTGTGACTGATTCAGAGCAACTACAGGTTCATGCAGGTAAAGGCACATTGAGGAAGATTTCTGCCAGATCCATGCATCGGATCAAGAGAGCAGCTGCTAAAACACCATTACATAGCAGCAAACAGATATTTGAAGCTGCTGGTGCCTCCAGAGTCCCACGGACATCAAGGTGTGGAGTCCTACGGACATCAAGGTGTAGAGTCCTCCAGAGTCTTGCAACTGTGCATAAACCTTCTATTCGGCCACCACTAACCAATGCTCACAAGCAGAAACGGCTGCATTGGGCAGAAAAATACATGAAGACTAATTTTCAAACAGTCCTGTTCACTGATGAGTGCCGTACATCCCTAGATGGTCCAGATGGATGGAGTAGTGGATGGTTGGTGGACGGCCACCCTGTTCCAACAAGGCTGTGACATCAGCAAGGCAGTGGTGGAGTGGTGGAGTCATCATAGTTCTTTACAACCTATAAAGTGTTTTGAAACTGTGCGTAATAATTTGGAACAGTACATTGTAAGTTTTTTATGTCTAAAAAAAATACTGTTATCATTAGGAGGTTTGTTCAATAAAATTTGAATTGTACTATTAATAGTTGATAACATGAGAATTATGCTGACTGTTATTTACATAAATTATTTAGGTAAATTAGAAAATTATCATTTGCATAATAATTTGGAACAGGGTGTAATAGGAGTAGACAGTAGTGTGGTGCAAGTCATAGAGTGTCAGTAAGAGGCTGTATAGGCTTATCCACTGACTATGTTAATAGAAGTGTAGCAGATGCTTAGTGAAGGAATGAATATCTCTGAGTAGGCAAACGTTTCACTAAACTACCTGCCTGGGTGAAGATTATTAGGTAGCTTGAAAACAACTATAGGAAAAAGCTTCAGACAGGTGAGAATATAACTTTAGGATTTTCCACCCCAGGTGATACCCGTGTTAGCAAGATAACAGTCAGTGACTATGTACCATGAGACCCACCTAGATAAAGAAACAGAGAGGGACAAAAGCCTGAAAACTTGGTTTATGGTTTTTATTGTTTGTAAACAATTGCGCGGACGCGGTACAATACGTGTAGCAACAGTTACAGAATGACGTGAAACTTGGGGCCCGAGTTAGAGTCAGACACATACACAGGCCATACATAGGCCGAGACAGGGAGGGGCAACGAAGGTGGGTGGGGTTTCCGGGACGGGAACATACTCGGAGAGATCTACAACCCAACACAATAGGTGAGCTGGGAGCCAAGGGAAAGGCTCGACACAACACTATCGAACAACCCACACTAGAGGGACCGCATACCCCAAGCAACGGACTCACGTTGTATATACACTCGGAGGCCACCGAGGTGACTCACCCCCAGGGGAACAGACACCAGAAGGCGACAAAAACCGAGGCGAGTCACAGTTGCCTCTCTCTTGGACAGACTATCACCCTCCCCAGACACCGGACAGACCTTACCCCTATACCCATCAACCACTGACGCACACATACCCACACACGCCTCACAACAAACACTGATAGAGATGGGCTCTAACTACAAGCCGACACCATTGACCCTATGGTCTAACAATGTAAGAGGCTTAAACATTCCCGAAAAAAGGTCCCAACTACTTCGCACACTGTGGGCAGAGCGCGCCTCAGTGGCGTTCTTACAGGAAACACATTTTCAAGGTACAGAGGCGCCAACCGTGAGAAACGGGCGTTACCCCACAGGATTCTATGCTAATCACCCGGACGGGAAGAAGGCCGGAGTAGCAATCCTACTCTCCAGTACAGTCCCATTTGTTTGCACGGAGCAGAAGTCAGACCCCGGGGGTAGATACGTATTTATCAAAGGCACGATAGCACAGTCCACCTACACATTTGCCTGCCTGTACTCCCCTAATCGACGTCAACACGTCTTCCTAACTAAAACGCTAGCCCTACTAAACAAATTCAGAGAAGGCCTTCTGATAGTGGCAGGAGACCTCAACATTCCCCTTGACTATAGGTTGGATACATCTAGGGGAGAAACTTCGATACCAGGTCACTGCATACGCTCAACAGGGAGGGCCTTAGCCCGGTGTGGCTTAGCTGACTGCTGGAGAGTGGCTAACCCCGAGGGCAGAGACTACACCTTCTACTCGGCTGTACATCGACGCTACAGCCGAATAGACTACATCCTAATGGCGCAAGAGGCCCTAACACTACTCCAGCGAGCTAGCATAGGGCATATCGCAGACTCTGACCACGCCCCCATTACAGTACAAATCCAATCCCCCCTACATAAACCTGCAGAGCGGCAATGGAAGTTGAACGAAAACTTACTACTTGACCTAGTGGACAAGGAACAAGCCAGGCAAGCACTGACACAATACTTTGACACTAACAACACGCCAGACACCCCCCCCCCTAACAATCTGGGAGGCACATAAATGTGTCATTAGAGGCCACTATATCAAAATATGCTCACAGCGTAAAAAAGAACGCACACAACAATTGTCCACCCTAAACGCACAAATCACCACACTAGAGCAGGCACACAAACAAAATCAGGGGGAAAACGAGTACCACCGACTGACGGAGCTTAGGAGGCAGAGACGGGACATACTAGCCAAGGGCCTCTTGCGCACCCTTAGAAAGTCGGCTCGGCACTTCTTCGAGTACTCCAACAAGAGCGGTAGGCTTTTAGCCCGCCAGCTTCAAGACAGGAGAAGGGCGAACCACATACACAAAATTAACACTAGAGACAAGACTGTAACAAGTTTACCCGACGGAATCCAACGTGCTTTTGTGGACTACTACACCGACTTATATAATATCCCCCAGCCCACGACGGTCACCACACAGGCCCAACGCCGGGGCCAAATAACGGAGTACTTAGACCAAAATGTAGAAAGACAATTGACCCCAGAAATGATAGAGGAACTAGAACGACCCCTCACGATAGAAGAGTTAGCCGCAGCATTAAAAATCTCCAAATCCCACAGGGCGCCTGGCCCAGATGGCCTTCCGCTGGCATACTTGCGAACATTCCGCGATGTATTATTGCCGAACCTCCTACGAGGTCTTAGCTCACTTCAAGACGGGGAACGGTTTCCCACTGACACACTAGCGGCCATAGTCACGGTGATACCCAAAGAAGGTAAAGACCCAGCGAATTGCGCTAGCTACCGCCCCATATCCCTGCTCAATGCAGACCTCAAACTGTTCGCCAAGACACTAGCCCTGCGAATCGCGAAGCACCTACCACACCTAGTGCACTCGGACCAGGTCGGGTTCATCCCAGAGAGGGAGGGAAGAGATAACACCATCAAAGCCCTAAACATACTGCAAGTAGCAAGGTCGCAACACCGGGAGCTACTCCTCCTCTCGACAGATGCCGAGAAGGCCTTCGACCGGGTGGACTGGCTGTACTTGGAGGAAACACTCACACACATGGGATTCGGCCCACGCATGCGATCATGGGTCCTTTCCCTGTACACGAGCCCGACGGCACGGATTCGGGTGAATGGTGCTCTGTCCACCCCCTTTCCCATTCGAAATGGAACCCGCCAGGGCTGCCCGCTGTCCCCCCTCCTGTTTGCCCTCTCCCTGGAACCCTTCCTGGGGGCGGTCCGACGAGATGGGGGTATCACGGGATTCACCGTCGGCCGGCGAGAATATCGAGTTGCGGCATACGCGGATGACATGTTGTTTTTCCTCACCCTTCCGCGGATATCACTTCCTAATCTTCTGGCCGCATTCCGAAGGTTTGGCTTGATATCTAACCTTAAGCTCAACACAGATAAGTCAGAAGCCCTTCACCTTCCAAGCCCCCAGGACTCCTCAACGACGCTACACACCCAATTCCGCTTCAAATGGTGCCCCACTAAATTGAAATACCTGGGTATATGGCTACCAAAAGACATGACCCAACTGTACTACCAAAACTACCACCCGCTGCTACAAAAGATCCAGGCAGACATGAGAAAATGGGCCCCACAATATATATCTTGGTTTGGACGCATTAACGCAGTCAAAATGAACCTACTACCCAGACTGCTCTATTTATTCCAGACGGTGCCGATCGCGGTCCCCAGGGCGTTCTTTAGCTCCCTGTCGACCGCCATCCGCAGATTCGTTTGGAATTCGCGCCCAACACGCATCAAGAGAACGACATTGGAACTGCCAAAACCGTTGGGGGGTACCGGCCTGCCCTCAATTGAGACATACTACCGGGCCGCACATTTACACAGGCTCACAGACTGGCACGCACAGCATCCCACAAAACAATGGGTCACGCTGGAATTGGAACAGTCGGGAGGGCACATACCCCCCACATTATGGCTACACACTGCTACGCATGCAGATCTACAAACTAAAAACCCCTTAATAGACGCCACCCTGAGGGTCTGGATGGCAACCCGATACCGTCTACAACTCACCACTTCGCCCAGCCCCCTGATCCCCCTCACACATAACCCGGACTTGGCAGATTCACTGACTCGAGGTGACCTAGCCGGACTCCAACCGACGGACTGGTCATATATACACCAATGGCTCAGCACCAACGGCCTAAAAACAATCGGAGAACTATGCCCCGACAGAACACCTACATTCCTTGAACAGTTTAGATACGCCAAATAAAATCTTACTACTCAGCCCTGTCGGGTAAGGGGCACCTACACAGACCCTTAACTGACTTTGAAACCCTATGTGTGCAACGCACACACATCACCAGGGGAATTTCAACCCTGTACACCCTACTCACGACTCAGACGAACAGGGACGTAGAGCTTAGGTTCAAAGACCACTGGGAGAGGGATGCGGGAGAGACACTCACTGCGCACGAATGGGACAAGATTTATACCCTCACGCACAAATGCTCTATCAGCTCAAAATATCAGGAATTAAACTATAAAGTGCTAACGCGCTGGTATAGAACGCCCGACACACTGCACCGCATGCACGGTACCACGTCAGGCATGTGCTGGCGATGTGGCACACAACCTGGCACGGATCTCCACATGTGGTGGTCATGCCCAGTAATTGCCCCTTTCTGGGAACAAATTAGAGGAGAGATCAACAAAATTACAGGCACCGATATCCCCCTGGCACCCCTAACGATGCTTTTGCACCACACCCAAAGCCCACTGACAGCCTACAAAAAAATCCCTGGAACTGCCGCTACTCAATGCCGCCAAATCCCTTATCCCGAAGATGTGGAAACAGCCAAGAGCGCCCACCTTGGGGCAATGGATGTCAGTGGTAGAGGACATATACTCAATGGAGACCCTGACGGCCGACCTCCACGGGAAATCGGAGCGGTGTGCATTGACCTGGTACCCATGGACCACATACGTGGCAGATGGAACTGTAACCCCCGAGCCAATATAGCTGAAACTCACAGAACACCATGTTAACTGCCTTACCCCCTCATAAGCACAGACACGCCCTACCCATTAACCACACACAGACTACGGACAGTTTTCACCCCCCCCAGACCACAACAGACATCAGGAAGACATAACACCCGCTAGAACAAACTACACAAACCACCGATACCTGGAGTACTCCAGGACGGACACCTTAAATACCCCCTACAGCTACTAGACCAGATACCGGTCCTCACCCTAAACGTAGAGTGCACAGCATAAGTGCAACAAACTGCGCACTGAATGCAAGAGGAGCTAGGAACCTTGAAACCTGATCATATGTTACACTACCTAATGCATGTGAAGGAAACTATTGAAATATTTATGATTTGAGAATGTTAGTATAAAGGCTACGAATGTTGTTATGCTATTCAGAAATATGATGTTACAACTGATGTTTCTCCGTATCTACACATTTTTGTGACAAAATAATAAAAAGGAAAATAAAGATTGTCAAAAAAAAAAAAAAAAAAAAGCCTGAAAACTGCTGTAGGATATGTAATCTAGGTAAGTGTCAGAGTGGTAATCCCCAAGTGTTTAACTTGCGTCTCAGCCGATGCCACCGGCAGGATACAGATCCCAATGGCATTGCTGATCTTCAGGTTCAACACCACAGCTGCAGGCAGTCGGCCCATGTATTTTGGCCTCCGCGCAGCAGTCTGGGAGGTACGGCAGGTAAAGCTAAGACGCTGGAGCAGTGTCTCATTCTGCGGGCTGTATACTTGGGGAGGCTTGGTGATTGATTTGCAGGAGCCGACCTCCGCTGGTCACTTTAATGCTGCATTGGCTTGGTGTGCCTCTGGCTTCTCTGCCATAACCCGGCTCGTCCAAGGACCGGAACCTGGATTCTAAGTGGGGTCTTAGCAGGCACCTGCAGGTTTCCGTCCAGCCCGCGTCAGCAGTCCGCCAGTGTGGAGTCGAGTGAGGAGGGAGCATCGGTCTTCCCTCTTGCATAGGGGGGCGGGAGGGTGGGAGAGAACAGGGCCAGTTCCACATAGCCTTTTGCTTCTGGCATGACGCTGGTAGGCAGGATAGCAGGGTAGCGGCCGTCCACCCGGCTCACCGTCTGAGCCATCCCCATCTTGGATGACGGAAAGCACCCCTCCAAGGGACTAGAACTAAAGAGTAAGCCTCTCCTCAGAATCAGGATGTCTTCTTGCACTGGGTAACAGCTGCCAGTCGTCAGGTAGGTACTAATTCGGTGTTTATGGGCTAAAAAAAGAAAAGATTGCAGGAGCTGCTCTGTTGTGTGACCATTCAGCATGGCGATCCGGCCCCGCCTCCTTTAGTGTCCCTTTAACATGTCTTCTGATCAATTGAAGCTTGAAATTGGAAATATTGAAACTATAATCTGAGTCGTAGTCCAGTGATCTTTTGTGGATCTCTTTGTAGTTCATTCATCTTACTCAGCAAAAGAAGATCATACTATATGACCTTTACTGGTCAGTTCCTGAGTCTTTAGATGCTAAAATTAGAAATTTCACACACAACTGCAATTAGGTATTTATGAAGAACAATTCGAAGGACCATTTGAGGATGAGTTCTGGATTTCAATTACAATTCACAGGCAATTTTTTGCTAAAAAGAGAAACTTAACAAGTCTCACACAAACATTAATGAATTAAAGGGACACGCCGGGAACTATTACTACTTTAATGCATTTGATCGGTTTTGGCCTCAATAATATACTGTAATTTTTTGCATACTCAAATCCTTATACTTTTTGCATAAAATAAATAAATGTTTTTCAGAATGCTGCACCATGACCTACCTCATTAGCCATACCCCTTCACTAAAAAAAAGACTTCCTTATCAAAGCTATGCATAAAGCTCAGCCACTGGCAACACTGAATGATCTTAACAAAACAACCTGCATTAGAAGACACCACAGGTAAGGATTTTACTATCTGTTTGTATTTTCTTTCACTTTCTGCACCTGCTTACTCAGTGCTGTTGGGGTTGAGACTGTGTGCATACCTTTGATAAGGAAGTCTTTCTAGCATGAAAAGACATAGCTAAGGAGGCAGGCTTATAATGCAGGATTTTGAAAAACAATTTTATTTTTGTGCAAAAACTATAAAGATTTGAGCATTCACAAAAATACACTATATTAACCCCTTAAGGACACATGACATGTGTGACATGTCATGATTCCCTTTTATCCAGAAGCTTGGGGTTAATGAGGACAGAAGGGGTTAATAAGGACAGAATCTATTAAATGCATTAAAGTTGTATTGGTGCCAGGAGTGTCTTTTTAACACAGAATTCTTAAACTTCTGTACGCATGCATTTTACTGGTAAACAACAGCAATTTACTACATACTTAGTGACCACTTGTGCGGCTGTTACAATAAATGGCATTAATATCTAAAAAAATAAAATAATTCTCACACATACAGATATATTTGATGTTGCTGTTGGAAGAGTTCCAGGCTTGCTTATATTAATTTTGTGTTTATTCTATGCACAGACACTCATATAACCGCTCAGAGTGTTCAGCCATTGAATGAATATCAGTACCATCACCTACTTCTGCAGCCCAGCTTCTGGCAGGACCCAGGTAAGAAAAAAACAGTTTGCCCCCTTACCGGGGAATGGTAGTAGGATAATCCTGACATCATAACAACTACAACAAGTTGTAGTAGTTCCGAATCTTGCAGTAACTCTTTAAGAAATGTAATGAATGCCAAGAAACCACTCAGCATAACATTGGCAAAGGTACAATGGAATAATGGGTTTAAGAGGTTTATATCAAAATGTTAACCCGTGATCTGCTCATCAGAGCACAAGTCAATAGTAGACAGACAGACAGACCGCCATTATTTTTAAACTTCAATCTAGTTCTAACCACCTCCAAATCTTTTTTTGCCCAATTCATTCAACAGACAGGACATGAAACAACAAAACCAGTTGACCTTGACTGCATGCTTTATATATCGATTTGCAGCCAAGTGACTTGCACCCGACTACAGGTATATACATACTTAAGTGGCTTCCTAATGTATATAGTTGAGGGTGATGAGATCTGCAGTAAAATGTTAGCTCAAAGGCCACCTGTGTGTATGTGTTTGTACGTTGTTTGTCTTTCTTTGTATACTTACCAATGGAATGAAGTATTTCCATATGTACATTTCACATCATCCCAGGACACCTGAAATAAAATACAATAGAGCATCAACTGTAAACTCATCAGACAGCCAGATAGGGAATTAGCAGACTAGATATGTCACTGCCCTACAACTGCTGTCAAAATCTATCTCATAAAGTTTTATTTAATCCCATAGTTTAGACAGGGTTATTCACCAAAGTGTGATATTCTGTGGAATTCTAAGTGATTTCTAAGTTAACCAATCTGTTGAATTGTATAAATTCTCCATGTCGGGTATATTTCTAGTTTGTCAGTTTTGGCCAGGGGTACAGTTTGTCAGGGGTACATGTCAATTGTTTGATAATTATTGAGATGTCTTATCAGTTTCTGGCGAGCCATTAACAATCTTAAAGTGATCACAGTCCAGCTATTATGATACTTTAGATAACCATGGGTCGATGTAAAGAGTCCTATACCTTATATTATTCAGTGAAGCTCAAGTGATCACAATCTTTCATCACATTAACAGATCCATTGGACACTTAGCACTTCAGCATCAAAAAGGACTTGATAAACCACTGAAAACACTACAGTAACAATTAGTAAGCACTTTTCTAAACGTTAACCAACACTCCAAAAATGTTCCAGGTTTTGGGGCATAAGTAGAATACTAACCACAATTTCCTCCCACGTTAATGGTGTTTTCAAGCATGTTACCATATTTTTAACGAATAATAAAGAAGACAAATTAACTGTAACAACAATATAACCATCAAATACATATATACAAAATCTGAAATGTCTGAGTTGAACATACTTATCAATATACATGCAAACCGGTAACAGTTTAGAAAACAAACGTTTACAGACACAAGTCACCCATTATTAACACAGCACACACAAAAAAAAGAGTCAAAATGGTAGGTCAGATGTTTCCAAGATGGATCCCTTTTGTCCAAAGGTCCGTTTTGATTTCGGAAGCCCTCTAATGGCTGTCTGGTAGACAGCCACTGAGGGCAGACTTAGAGCTGCAATGAAAACATTGCAGTTCTCTGGAACTGCAATGTTTTACAATGCAGCACTAAGTGCAAAAGGGACACAGCACCCAGACCACTTCAATGAGCTGAAGTGGTCTGGGTCCCTTTAAAGGAACACTACAGAATTTGAAATTCCTAACACTATAGTGCACTGTTGTCCACTTAGATCCTTGGTTCACACCTGCAGGGAGTAAAATGGCACTTTACTTGCCTTTTCTCACTCACAGTGCCAGTCTCCCTGCTTTTATCCCAATACCTTGGCTGAGAGTGCGCATGTACAATCTCTTTAAACAATCTGAAGTGCCTCTAGCGGCTGTCTGAATGACAGTCTCTAGAGACATTTCAATCCTGCAATAAAAACATTGTTGCAATGCAATGTTTTCAGCTGCAGGGTAAAACAGGGGCGACAAGGCACCCAGACCGTTTCATTGAGATGAAGCGTCTGGATGCTTGTAGTGTTCCTTTAAGCCTGGTTGTAATACAAAAAACTATTTGTTTGGCATTAATACAAGAAAACTTTTGTTACATTTTTGTGTTGTGATTGCATGAAAAACACTGACACAATAACGGGAGAAAACCTTTTTGATCAGTATATTGTGGTAATGCATTTTTAAAGAGTAATGTATAATGCTACACATTTACTAGTGTTTGCTCTATGATTAAACACTAGAGCAGATGACAAAGGGATCATTATTATAGCTTAAACTTAATATCTAAACAGTTCACAACACATTATAATGCAGGCTCATGTACACCGCCAGGGATCCTTACCTTGCACACACACGAATCGTTGAAACAATACCACTTGTGATCCTTTGAGCTATTGATGTAGGTGCAGAAATGCCCAGAACTTGTTGTTCCTGAATGTGCTACTACAGCAAACAGACCATAAATATATTGGCCCTGTCAGGAAACAAAATATATAAAATTGTTAGAGCACCCCAGAATGCTCACTATTCACTTATGGTTTAACTGATTTAGTGGATATGTTAATGTATGTTTTGTTTAAAGGGCCTTGATATATCTTATAGGACCTGTGTGTCCACATTCCTGTTTATGCATCTCATTTAACCGTGTGCGGCTAACAAAATCGCTTTTTTACCTTTCTTTTTACGTATCATAATCATACATGATTATCTGCTTGTCCCTTTGTTTTACCTACTACTTTGTTGCAAAAAATAAAAGTCTAATTAAAAAAAAATTGTTAGAACAATATCATGGCCAGGACTAAGGCAGGGATTGGGAAGATACAATTCTCAGCAATGCCCATCGAGTGTCTAAGGTTTAATGCTAGTTTCAACCATTGTATTCATATTACCATCACTTAAGGTCCCCTCAGTATCCTGATTTCTGAATGCACGAACTAATGCCTATGGGTAAAATTCACTGTGTGTGTAAAAACCATTAGCACCATGAAACTGGACAAAAAAAACAGGAAAACAGAAAAAAAAAAGAGGGGTTTATTTAGTAAACAATGATCCTCCGTGGGTTAATGCTAAAGGTATTAATACAACTTTTACGTAATGAAGCAATTTTTGTGTATCGATCATGCTGCTGAAATTCTACATTAAACAGACAATGCAATAAAGCAGAGTGTAACTAGAAATCCCCAGGTTCCAGTGCGAAAATTGCCCTGGCCCCCCCTGTGTCTCTTTCCCCCCCAACCCCACCATGTGTCTCATTCCCTTGCCCCAGCCCTTTCATGTGTATCACACCCCCTCCCCCACACCCCCCCCCAGCCCTACGGTTGCATCTGTGGCTAGGCCCCCTGGAGTGATGGGCCCGGTCGAAGCACTGACCCCTGCGACTGTGACCATACGCCACTGCAATACAGGAAATTTAAACATTAGATTAAACTCTTTACAGGAAGAGTTTAGGATAGCTGTCACATGCAGAGAGGTGTGGCTAGGGCTGCATAAAAAAAGTGAACTACTAAATGGCAGAGAATTGAGCAGTGAGACTACAGATGCATGATCTATACACAAAAACTGCCTCATTAAACTAAAGTTGTGTTAGTGCCTATAGTGTCACTTTAAACCAAAGTAGCTCAGGTAGAAAATAAAGGGGTGTCTAACTCACCCATACAGGAGCTCTACTTTGTTTTTAAGCATTAAGTAATTTGTCAACTCACTGTTTGTTTGGTGAATATGCTGCTCAGAGTAAGCCAGCTATAACTCTTTACCTGTTTTAAACTACAGCTTAAAAAGTTCCAACTTTGTACCAGTCAGAGAATGGCTGATAATCAGGGAAATCTTAGTTTATAAAAATGCGTGTGAGCTACATGTAAACTGCACCTTCAGTATAGGGAATGTGTAATGCAGCTCTTCCACTTATTTGCAAGAGGAATTTTACATGAATCTGCCATTTACTTCAGGAGCTGCCAGCTCTTCTTATGACCTGTTATTGGCATGAAAAAGTTTTATTAGTGTGTGAATCTGTAAGTGTGTGTTAATCAATTTTGTGAATCTGTGAGTGTGTGTTTCAATATGTGACTGTATGATACTGTGTGTGAATCTGTAAGTGTGTAAGAATCTTAATAACCCCTCACAGTCACACTCATCCCCTCACACAGTCGCCCGGTCACACTCATCCTACACACAGTCACCCTGTACATCCACCACCCACACTAACCACTTACACACAGTTACCCTATCACACTCACTCCCACACAATGACCTCCTCACACACTGCTATACAAAGTGATTATAGAAGAATGAGAAGAATTTGCAGGGGTGGATGAAAAGCACACAGAGCAGAGCTGGTCCTTGATAACATCTTCTGTACAAGCAATAGTCATGTTTATGTCTATTTCAACTAATCCCCACCCGTCTCTTCTGTCATAGTGGGCATCCAGTAGCCCCAAAAATCTGACGCCTGGATTCATCACTAACAAGAATTTCCCTGTACAGATTTGTTTTAAACTGCACTGGTGTGTGTGTACTAAAACTTTGCCAGGGAGCTCCAAAAGGCAATTCATTTTGGGCTACATGTATAATACTTATAGTGTACCTGTTTGTATTCTTGTTCAGGTAAATATTCTGGATCCAGAATTTCGCTCAAGTCCAAAAGCTCTGGGAAAGACAAAGTTCTGTTGGTTTTCAGAGAGGATTTTCTTTGGTTCAGACGTTTCAGATGTATGGTTAGAGTACGGGGCAGAGAGAAGAACCGTAAACCCTGCAAAACAAATGCTCAGCTAGGGTAAATAGTCAGAATTTGCTATTAATCTCCATACCATTCCAGTATAACAGCTGGTCTCTCCATTTAAAGATGGGGTCTACTAAATGGGGGTTAAAAACTGTATACCAACCATGTTTGCGGGCAACTTGCACCAATCCCCTTGAAAGGAATTTAAACATAATATTCTTTATGCACATTTCAATAAGATTACTACTTATGACTCCTTTTTGTTTTTAAGGTTTTTCTCCATGAATCAAATGTCACATAGCACTCTCCTTTCCTACTATCCGGTCTCCACTCTTCCAAATTCCTACCCAGTTTAATTTCCCAGATTGCATTATCACAATTTCTCTTTGATGATCAATAAAAAAATTAAGTCTACAGCAGGTGAGCTAATCTATATGCGGATGTCTCCAAAGAATGAATCATGCCAACTACTGTCTCTTATTTTGCATCAACACTGATCTGTTTATTCTGGGCAGAGGAAAGGGTGCCACAAGGGCATAAAATTAGCCCCAATAGCCCCAGTTACATCAGAGCATCTAAAGCCGCAAATGTTTTTTTCTTACAGTGTTATATATACACTTCTTCAAATTCTAAAACGGCCCTGGTTAATGTAAAACATGTGGTTTACACAAACTACAAGGTTACACATTCAAACATGTAACTATTTTCTCTTTTTTTGTATGTCGATAATTTACTTTAAAGCAGAGGTGTCATTTTTATTGTTTCATAAAAGCCAATAATTTATTTATATGAATTAAATTCACTAGACTAGAAATTATAAGTCAAAAGAATTTTTATGACAAAATATCCAGATGTATTTTTATCTTTTTTTTTCAGCTCAGCTATATAAAATGTGTACTTCTTTTATCCATTCTCTAAAATTCTTAGTTTACTGATAAACCACTGAAATGTTTTATTTTTATTCAGATTACTGTGCAGAGTTAAACTTACCTAAAAGGCTTTCCTTCCTTTTAGAATGCTAACTGGCTTTACCTGATATGTAACTTCATTGTATTGTGATAAAAAATAGAACATTTAACCCCTTAAGGACACATGACATGTGTGACATGTCATGATTCCCTTTTATTCCAGAAGTTTGGTCCTTAAGGGGTTAAAGGAACACTAGAGTCACCAGATCAACTACAGCTTATTGTAGTTGTCCTGGTGATTATATACAGCCCCTGCAGGCTTTTTGCAGTAATCAAGTTTTTTTGAGAAAAGGCAGTGTTTACATTACAGCCTAGGGACACCTCCGCTGGCCATTCCTTAGATGGCTACTAGAGGTGCTTCCTGGTGCAGAACAGTGTGCAGCACTTTCATTTGGTGTCTCCACTATCTGCATTGAGGCACTAAACTTTCCTCATAGACATGCATTGATTCAATACATCTGTATGAGGAGTTGCTGATTGGCCAGGGCGGTGTTTGGTTCCTATAGGAAAGCATTATGATGGGCTGAGAGCAGGGGCAGAGCCAGCACCAGCAGACTGAAATAAAGGTAGGATTTTACTATATTTAAGGGCGCAAGTGGGGCTAGATATTGTTTTTTTAACACCATAGGGTCAGAAATACATGTTTGTGTTCCTGATCCTATAGTGTTCATTTAAGCCCTGGATACTAGTTAACTGTCTAGCATTGACACACACAACACAGCTTCCAGAAAGGTAAAGTAATGTAATACCTACATTTCAACTACAATAGTATGTAAAAGGGAAATATTGTAAGAAAAATAAGAAAATATTAGTCACATTTTGTTATACAAAGTAATCTTATGACTATAATTACCTTGACTGTTTTTTTATTCTCTCCACATTTTGTACAGATACTGTTGCTTTCTCCAATGACCTCCTGGGGTTTAAAGTATCTTCTGAGACAATATTCCTGTTGGAAACCAATATATGAAAGAATTATTTGGTTAAGATAAACCATAAATAGTTGCTGGTTTTGGAAAGTCGTGGAAGACATCTAAAGCTACCTAACTTACCAGGGTTAGGTTCCTGTGATGCTTGGAGTGGATAATTTGCAACAAGATATTTAACACATTCACCTCATTGGACCTCTGATGAGAACAGCTTAAACATTTCAAAGATTCTTCAAGTCGGACAGTGTATAAAGTCCTCAGCTTTTCTTCCTGTCGCATTATAAATGCAAGGTTATAATGTCAACCAAAATTATTTGTTTGACTGAGGGTCATGCACCCAAAATCAAGCAGCTAATTTGTCCACCCCCCACAGAGGGTTATAATTCTATCCAATAATCAGTGTTAAGAGAACTCCTGCATCACTGCCCCAATAGCAGTGCTTATCGTACTTTACATACCAAATGTGGATGAGGCATCTGTTGGAGAAGTAGGTTCCAGAGTTTGCAGATGAGTTCCGATACATCATACAGACTAACTACTGAAAGGAGCCAGAAAAAAGAGGTAAAGAAGAAATCAGATGTAGACTCCATGTAGAAGGCTGTATCCATGCATATTTATCCCGTTTGGCCCTTTAACAAAGGGTTAGGTAAGCTTTCGTTAGTGCTGTGCTGAAGTAAAATTTAAAGTCCCTTGTGGAGCCATCTCTATTTTTTTTAAGCTAATGTTTATGTATGGTGGAAAATTTTGCATATGTTATGTGTAGGTAAGGTGGCTGCATTGTGAGGTTTTAGGTGTGTATGTAGGATGTAGGTGGGTTGTATGCATCGTGAATGTATGCTATGCGTGTGGGATGTCTGCAGTGTGAATGAATATGGTGGTATTGTGTGTGTGTTTGGAAGGGTTTGTAGCATTGCATATTTGTATGGAATGTTTGTGGGGTTGTGTTTGTTGGTTGTTTTCTGTACTGTTTGTGTGATTATTGGCTGCCTGTTGTGTTATGTATGTGTAGGTATATAGACTGTTTGTAATATTGTTTGTGTATGTCGGCAGGGACGTATTAGCCGCGAGGCAAACAAGGCATTTGCCTTGGGCGGCATTTTTCAGGGGGCGGCAAAAAACGCCGCCCCCCAAATGCCCAGGGCAAATGCCTAGTTAGCCTCGCGGCTAACTGACATCCCGGGCGGGCGGCTGGCGAGGGAGCACTTCCTATGAGCTATCTGCTCAGCTCCCTCGCACGCCGGCTGCAGAGTGAGACTGGGAGCCGGGATATGACGTCATCTTTCGGCTCCCAGCCTCACTCTGCAGCCGGCGCGCGAGGGAGCTGAGCAGACAGCTCATAGGAAGTGCTCCCTCGCCAGCCGCCAGCCACTGGACCACCAGGGAGAGAGAGACCCCCCCCCCAGCACTCCCAAAGGTAAGGAGGTTGGGGGGGGATTTAAATTAAAAAAAAAAGTTAATCTGTGTGTATGTCTGACTGTGTTTGTGTATGTGTGTGTGTGACTGTGTGTGTGTGTTTGTCTGACTGTGTGTGTGTGTGTGTGTGTGTGTTTGTGTCTGACTGTGTGTGTCTGACTGTGTGTGTCTGACTGTGTGTGTGTCTGACTGTGTATGTGTGTGTATGTGTCTGACTGTGTATGTGTGTGTATGTGTCTGACTGTGTATGTGTGTTTGTGTCTGACTGTGTGTGTGACTGTGTGTGTTTGTGCCTGACTGTGTCTGTGTATGTGTGTGTGTGTATGACTGTGTGTGTGTTTGTGTCTGACTGTGTGTGTGTGTGTGTGTGTGACTGTGTGTTTGTGCCTGACTGTGTCTGTGTGTATGACTGTGTGTTTGTGTCTGTGTTTGTGTCTGACTGTGTGTGTGTGTGTGTGTATGTGTCTGACTGTGTGTGTGTGTATTTAGAAGGTGGGGCGGTGGGAAGGGTTGGGTGGGGGTGGCGCTGGTGCCTGAGTTTTGTCCTGCCTAGGGCAGCACAAAACCAGGATACACCACTGTATGTCGGCAGCATGTTGTTTTATGTATGTGAGTGGGCAGTTTGTTATAGGTGGGTGTATGTGAGTTGGTTGTACTATTTGTGAGTGTGTGATGGAGATTTCTGTGGTGCAGTAAGCGTGGCTATCTGTGGTATTGTGTGTATATGTAGCATTGTGTGTGTGTGTAGTGGAGGCTGTACTTGATGTGTATGTAAACAGTTTGTGCTATTGTGTGTGTTTATGTTGATTGCCTGCTGTGTCATATAGTCTGCCTGTGATGTTAAATGTGTGTAGGTAGGTTGCCTATAGTACTTTTTTTATGTGTGGTGTGGGCTGTCTGTGGTGTGTGTGATTGGGCTGTTTTCAGAGTTGTGTATGTGTGGCTGTTTGTAGTGTTGTGTCAGGATTGTATGTGGATTATCTGTGTGAGTGCAGAACACAGGCTCCCTTGTGCTCTGGATGCTAGGGCAGTGTGGCCCAGCTCGCAAGATCCTCTGATCTCCCCAGCTGGTTAATTTGGGTCCAGCTGCCTCCCATACCGTACAAAGACACACCTATTGTTGACCCCTGCTCTAACAGCTTGTGTCTCTAAGGCCATGTTCTTACACAAGGATACAATACATATTGTATCACTTTACATACATCCCATGATTCAAAGCTATCCGGTAACATGAATCTATCTCTCCTTTTCCAGCTGCATTGTGTGTTCATTCTCAGTTCCCTAGCAGCTATGTATGACTTAATTTCTCCTATTCTCTAGCCGTTGTACTCCCCATGCCCCTGTTTCTCACATCTCATGTTGGCTTCCCTCAGACAGCTCAGTATCCTGTATGGGGCCACAGCATCTTCCTTGCTATTCTGCATTTCCTCAAACAGGGCGAGTAGCTCATAGGGAAATCTCCTCTCGAGGGGCACATTATCATTTGGCTCCCCTATCCTGCCAGGAAGAGAAAAACAAATGAGAATTCTGAATATTTTACACAGTGCTGAATTACATACATTAATAAGAATGTATTGTGGCAGGGTCAGAGAGGCTTTCTATGTAAGTAACAGATTGGAGCGCTCTCTATTCCCAGCATGATAGGGTTAATTGGTGGAAGTAAGCCCTTTCAGGTGAATGTAATAAACCTGCACTAGGGGTTTAAAAGGTCAGCCTCTGGAGGCATCAGAGAGTCTAACAGCTGGGAGAGAGGAGGCAGTTAAGCCTGAGACCCTATGATTCTAAAGGAAAAAGTACTGTGTTTAAATTGTTTAAAACTGGGAACTGGATTAGGTAGCCAGTTGGATAGTTAGGGATACACCTGCTTAGTAAGTCTCCAAGTTGGAGTAGGATTTATTTTCTTTTTGTTTTATTTATTTATTTAAAGTACAGCATTGTATATAGTGCAAATAAACTGCAGTACTATTTTATCCTAAGGCTTGCATTTGAAGTTTATTGTCAAGAGCCTGTCCATCCTGCCACAGTATCATATATTTTCCTTCATTAGGTCAATAGTGCCACAAACAAATGATTATGGTTATGAAAAGATTAATTCAGGAGGTACACAATAGAGAGTCTGATTTCATAAAAAATGCATGAAAGTATTGGAATTCTACAGAAACTGGAAACATTATAATGAATATGTGTTGCCATTCCACAGCCTTCCTACAAGGGGTTACCGGAATGTTGGAACTGCCAATGCTGCACAGTACTGATACAGTGCTTGGTTTAGGGCTAGAAGCGTTTAGGAAAAAGAAATCATAAAACTAGTAATAACCATGATTTTAAAATGATAAGTTAAGGGATTTCTGCATTCTTGGTGTGAAAATAAGATGGATGTTCATTCCCTTCTTTGTATTCACTTTCCTCAAAGCTCAGACCAATCATTTTCAACACGATTTCAAACCGTTTGCCGTGACCTCAAGCCAACTCAAATAGTGCCACTAATACATAGACTTCAGGACTGTAATAGATTGAATGCAGTCCCCTTTTTAAACGTGTAAGTAAACATTAAAATGAGATTCCAACCCCACAATTAATTAAAACCAATAGGTCAGTCTGACTATAAGTATTCTTACACCTCTAATGTGGCAACAAGTAAATGTGACATTTATAAACTGGGGATGAAAATAAAAAATGAAAGGTAGGTGTGCTTTGATCCCCCCCCCCCCCATAAAGTATGCCTTGGCCAAAAGAATGTTGAGAATCACTAGCATTGGACATTGTACGAGAGGTCTTACACCCAGAACATCAATAACAAACCTACAACATTTATATTCATGGCTATGGGTGCTTTTGAAACATTTATTGTGGGGATTGCAATGAATATTAATAGGTTGGGTTTGGCATTACTTCCCATTAATCCCTACGAACTCAGCAAAGTTATTGCCCTTATCTTATAAAAAAAACAAAATTTTGGCTGTAGTAGGCCTTAATCATGTATATCCCAAGATTCATTAACCACTCTTGTATACCTCTTGCATTAATTACATATGTATGTTACCAATGACTCCACAAATAATGCACTATCATGTAACTTTGAATGTGGTCATATGACTCCCATCAATAGTAAACGTGACTCTCTATATATACCGACAAAGTGACTTACCTGCACAGTATATCGGAAAAATCTGGATTCATATAGAGAGTCTGCAGCAGAGAATTGAGGCAGCTTCTTACACCAACGTTGCACAGACCGATGGCTCCTGTAGGAGATACAATTTAAATAGGCTTCTAAGAGAACAGGGAACAAAAAAGTATTGCTACCCTTCAGGAACAAGATTATAACAGCAAGGGAATTATTTCAGTAAGTCAGTTTCATGTCATTCTTTTTGTTATTGAGCAAATAGCATACAGAATGCTTGTGAGATTAACATCATGTCACATGAAATATAAGACAATGCAACTTTGGTTAGAGTTCAATTAAAGAGACGGTTGTGGAAATTGTGGGAAAGCTGTTCACAGTAAACAAAATTAAGGAATCTTGAGATATTTCTGTCCAAACATAGTTTCAACCAACTGGGAGTTGGAAAAAAAAATCAAGGAGTGCTAGGCTTGAGCTGCATTTTAGTAAATTTAGATGCTTTATACTCATAAAGATGGTGGGAATTGCAATGAAATGCCAGTGTTATCCATGGGACAAATTAGGGACAACTTTGTGTGATATAGGATCTGATTATTGATAGAATGTGTAAGTGGGTGGAGGTTTTGCTGCCGCATTCTAACAATTCTTTAAGCTTTCAAGAGTGATGGACGATTGAAAAGGCATCTTGCTTGATGCACAACAGATGCCCTTGGCACTCATTGCCCGTGCAGAAGATCATTAATGGAAGATTCTGTAAGATCTTATATTAACTTTCCTTTTGTACTCATTGAGATCACAGTTTTGAGGCAGCTCCTTGTAGAGGAAGCTGCCAAGTCTGAAAGTTTGAACCAAGAAGAAGATGGCAGCATATATTTATCTAAACAAGAGGTTTAGATAAATATATCTTTCTTTCTCCTCTCTCACTGTGCGTCACCAAATAAGTGGACATGCCACTTTGGGCATGTCTTTTCAAAATATGACTTTAATTGTACAAACTGTAGTGGGTAGGGATCGACCGATTATCGGTCTGGCCGATATTATCGGCCGATATTTGGTATTTTCGGCAATATCGGTATCGGCCAATTCAGATACCGATATTGCCGATAACATATAACAGGACCGCCGGGCCCATTAGAAGCCGGGCGGTCCCGTGGGGGCCAGCAGCAAGCGCTGACCTACCTTGCAAGCAGCTCCTATAGCTCTCTGTGTAAATCTTGCGAGACCCGCGGCCGCAGAGCGTTGCCACGGGTTACCATGGCAACGCTCCGCGCGGCACTAAGAGCCGCGAGATTTACACAGGGAGCTGTAGGAGCTGCTTGCAAGGTAGGTCAGCGCTTGCTGCTGCTGAGCCACCACTGTACTTAACAAGCCACTGGACCACCAGGGAATACTATATCCCCCTCCCTGGTAAGAAGCAGGGAGGGGGGGCTAAACAAAAAACACCCAAACATTTAAATATTAAAAAAAATATTAAAATAAAAAATTACACAAATTACATCACTACACAAACACACACACACACTGCACACACTGCACACATACTGCTACTCAGACACACACACTGCATTACACACACACACACACACACTACACAAACACACACTAGGGGGGGGGACTAAACAAAAAACAACAACATTTAAATATTAAAAAAAATTAAAATAAAAAATTACACAAATTACATCACTACACAAACACACACACACACTGCACACATACTGCATTACATACACACTACACATACACACACTACACACACCACACAAACACACACACCACACAAACACACACACCACACAAACACACACACACCACACAAACACACACTGCATTACAGACACACACTACACTGCACACACTACACTGCATTACATACACACACACTGCACACACTACACTGCACACACTACACTGCATTACATACACACACTGCATTACATACACACTACATTACATACACACTACATAAACACACACTGCATTACATACACATATTACATACATACACACTACACAAAAACACTGCATTATACACACACTACATTCATTATACACACACTACACAAACACACACTCTGCATTACATACACACACACTACACAAACACACTGCACACATACTGCATTACATACACACACACTGCATTACATACACACTACATTACATACACACTACATAAACACACACTGCATTACATACACACATTACATACACACATTACATACACACATTACATACACACACATACACACTACACAAAAACACTGCATTATACACACTACATTCATTATACACACACACACCACACAAACACACACACCACACAAACACACACACCACACATACTGCATTACAGACACACACACTGCACATACTACACTGCACATACTACACTGCATTACATACACACACACTACACAAACACACACAAAAACACTGCATTATACACACACTACATTAATTATACACACACTACACAAACACACACACACACACACTACACAAACACACACAGTTCCCCTGTCTAAACACACTTCATCCACTACACTGCATTATACACACACTACATTCATTATACACACACCACAAACACACACTGCACACATACTGCATTACAGACACACACACTGCACACACTACACTGCACACACTACACTGCATTACATACACTACACAAACACACTGCACACATACTGCATTACATACACACATTACATACACACATTACATACACACATTACATACACACTACACAAAAACACTGCATTATACACACTACATTCATTATACACACACACCACACAAACCACACAAACACACACTGCACACATACTGCATTACAGACACACACACTGCACACACTACACTGCACATACTACACTGCATTACATACACACACACTACACATACACACTGCACACACACTGCATTACATACATACACACTACATTACATACACACTACACAAACACACACTGCATTACATACACACATTACATACATACACATACACACTACACAAACACACACAAAAACACTGCATTATACACACACTACATTCATTATACACACACTACACAAACACACACTCTGCATCCACTACACACACACACACACTACACAAACACACACAGTTCCCCTGTCTAAACACACTTCATCCACTACATGTGGCATGTATATTTTGTGCATTTACCTTTCAAATTAGTTTATTTATTCAAAATAGTAAATGTACAGAATATCGGCAAGATATCGGCTATCGGCCTGAAAGTTTGCAGATTATCGGTATCGGTATCGGCTCTAAAAAATCAATATCGGTCGATCCCTAGTAGTGGGTATTTTTGTATCAAAGTAGGCTTATTATGTTTAATAACAGTAGATTCAGAGTTTTCATGTTGTGTACATGGTGGTACATTTTAAACTACTAGGTAAGGGACAAATCAGCTTAAGTAAAGGGGAAATTAATCTTTAACAGTTGCTTTTGTTCGTTAGATCCATGTAGTGTTGTCTCATGGGAAAGATATATATATATATATATGTAATTTTTAATGACAGTTTCTGGTATGATATTGGCTATAGACGATTGGTGAGTGTGCGTGGATTATGGTAGCATTGTCATTTTGGTTTCTCCATTGGTCAATGTCTTTTAGACCTTTTCTTCATATATTGTCTTTGTGTGATAAAAGAATGGTAGAATGAGGCTGATCCGGTCACAGTTTTTGAAAGTGTTAGTGATACTCTGTATGTAGCTATGTTCTTGGAAGTAGGTAATTAGTGGGATTATTTAGTATGACCAGCTTTTGGGCTGCAGGAAGAAAGAGAGTAGATGTATTATGACAGAGGATGGCTGCCGTGTTATAGTATCTAACGTTTGGGAGGTTCGGCTTCCTCAGACATTTGTGTTAATAGAGTTTTTGTGAAGTTGATGATGTGTTCCTTGAGCTGGCCGAGAAATCATCTAAAATGCATGCTTAATTCTTTCTTATCTGAGAGAGCCATAATGTGGGTGGAGTAGTTTTTGGGAAACTTACTGCTGGACTCTACTTAGAAGAGAATGGGTAAAAAAGCAAAGCCCAATGGTTAATGTTTGAATCAGAGGTAGGCAACCATTGGCACTCCATATGTTGTGACTACATCTGCCATGATGGTTTGCTAGCATTATGGCTGTAAGATCATTATGGAAGATGAAATCCACAACATCTGGAGTGCCGAAGTTGCCTACCCTTGATCTAGAGAAATCGCGTTTAGAAGTGAGCACAGCCACCAGTATATGTTTTATTAAATGGCATAGTACTGTATAAATTGTATATCTGAACTATATGAACACTAATGTGGAACATGTAATAGAGGCTTATGTGCAAGCCTCAACTCAACTGATATGTTTTTGTAACATCTCTCAATGTAAAAAAAAAAAAAAAAAGTAGAAGTGAGAGTCAATTGATACAGTAAAGGGCATCTAATGGTTAAGTAAGATGGATAACAAGATATGTGATATATAATAATGATATAAATTTCACAAAAGTAATCTCCTGTAATCTCTACCTGACTGAGGGTTTAAAGGTGTGCTTTATTACTTTCTTCACTATATTTTGCAGATTGTGTCTGTGAATTCACATTGACCCTTTGAAATATCCCTGATTGAAATAAGAGTGTATATCACTATTTTTAAACTGGAATGCTCGCATAGATACTTTTTGTAGAGCTCCTGTAAAATTAACAATTGTTTTCTCTCTGGGCAAACTTCTTTTCAGCAGCAGTAGCCAATATGTAGCTGTCCATCTATTGCATACCATTTTAAATGATCACGTAAACTGTATTCCTGCAACAACTGGACAGCTATTTTCTCTACTGGCACAATCATGATTATCTTTATTCATGGAACATTATGACGTTTAAAATATTAATTGTGTAGAACATAGAAGCAGAGGGATGAAATTAGTAAATAAAAAGATGGTTTGGTGTTCTATCTCATATAGATTTATCCGTGTTCTCGTCTGCTTTGTTACATGTGACATGTAATGTGACATGAGATCCAATGGAACATTTTGACGATCACTCCAAATCTAGCACTTTGTGTCTGGAAAGTCCCAGTATTGTCTTTACAAAATGGCTGAATGTATCTGCTGCAACACAAATATGGGTTAGGACTGACCATTTTTGAATTTCCCAGTGGAATAGGACAGCTGTTTTGCTGGTGGTGGTGCTCCACAGGTGGCCTGCTCAGGTTCGTCGTTCTCCAATAATTGGCTGATGTCCACATATCCGTCCTCATACATCTTTATCTTGGAATCATTATCAATTCTAAAAAAAAATTACCTCATCTTCAGATTAATGGCGGCAGCAAGCAAAAGCACAACTGAATCACAGCGAGCTCTGAAGGACAAACCTGATTTATCAGATTGTGAAGTAAGGAGAGCAAGACAGCAACTTGAAAGCGTTCATCCTCAGCCTAACATTGCACTTAAGCATTAGTATGCTAGAATAGACATCACTCACCTGGGACTCAAGACCACCCACAGAGGCCACCCTTAGTGACTAACACATATGGCCATCATAATCTTGCACATAGTGGAAATCATGCTGAACCATAACATTTATAAAACAATTCTTGCTAGATAGTCCCCTGAGGTCCTAGCTCAGCATGTGATGCTAGAAAAGTGGGTAGTCTGTTATTCTAATGCACCTGTACCTCACAGGTACCTTGATAATCTAAACTTTGTGTTTTGTATTCTCTCTGATTACAGCTAGAATGGAAAATGTTGCTCATTCTTTACTACAGAAGTGAATTTGATCACAGATATGCAGGGCTAGATTCATGTTTACACAGTCTGCTCAAACATTGGGCTAAATAACGTCATCTTTTAGAATTTATTTGTCATTGAGACTTTAATTTCACCTGCAATGGTACACGAAAGTTAGGTTTCATTGAAATAACATGGAAGTTCATCTATACATTAAAGGGACACTATAGGCACCCAGACTGCCTTATCTCATTGAAGTGGTCTGGGTGCAGTGCCCCCGTCCCCTTAATCATGCAATGTAAAATATTGCTTGAACTGGCTGTCTACCACATAAGTACTAGAGTTGCTTCCTGGCTTTTTACAGAGTTTAACAATGTAAAATGATGCTGAAGGTTGCGTGAAGATATCTAGCGTCTTCCATATTCCCATAGGAAAGCACTGATTTAATGCTTTACAATGGCTGCACATGTGCATTAGGTCCTCCCATCCATTGATGTCAGAGGAGGCTGAGCCAGTGCCAAGGGACCTCAGTGCTGAATCAGGTAAATGAAAGAAAGTTTTTTTAACTTTCTTTAGGCTTAAGGGTTTTTAACCCTTTCATCTCCGGGTGACAGGCTGGACCAATAGTTAACTGCAGAGGGACACTATAGCTAGGTAACTAGGTTTACTGTTAAACCTTTTACTTGCAGTTTAACGTGGCACCACTTCCGTCCTGGCTACCTTTCTTAACCTGAGTGGTGATGGGGTACAGGGATAGGGTGAGAGTGCCACATGAGCTCTCTCAGCCTATCACTGCTGCCCATTGCTATAAATGATTGGTGTAGCTCATATCGATCCGTACATGCAATGGGTGGCAGGGATTGTAAATAAATGGTTTAACAGTTTAACCCCTTAAGGACCAAACTTCTGGAATAAAAGGGAATCATCACATGTCACACATGCCATGTGTCCTTAAGGGGTTAAAGCCGGCGAAATCCACACTTAACTAGTCCAAAGATGCTAAATGGTCATAACATGAGAAATGTTCCTTTAAACTAACCTGTCATGGTTTCACTTAAAATCAACCAATTCTCCCACACATTATTCAATAAACTGTAAAATGTTGGGATTCAAAATTGAATAAAGGTAAATTTAAATATTTTAGGTAAAAATTACCTTCAAGTCAGTCATGGTTTTAATTTGTCCATTTTTCAATTCAATTTGAATGTCTGTACATCTGCCTGTAACAGCCATTAATTTTATTTTTCACAGCAGACTGGTTGTGGGCATTGGAAGGTAAGAATATTATTATAAATCTTTACTCAGGAATTTGGCAGAAAACAATTGTGTCATATTTCTTAAGACAGGGTCCCTTTAAATAAAACATGTAGCCTACTTTTGCTCATAGCTATGTTAATAACATTTGGAACTGGAAAGTACCAACTCGAACAGACGTCATGTCATAATTTTTCACTACTTTCCAGAACATTATATTGCAGGTTACATGTGCCAAGATATTACAAAACCCAAAGATAGCGCTGCAGAAAGTTAAGAGTAGCTGTTTGTTAAACAGGAGTACTTTGTGAAGGGTCCGCTGTTCCTCACGTAATGGTTAAAAGTAGAAATCCGTAGGCATCATGGTGCGGAGCAAGTAAAGGTAAGGTTTGGATAAATGAACAAAAAAAAAACACGTGTCAAAAACACCATAAAAATCGTGTCTTACAACAATAAATGAACTACCACATTAATGTTTATCAAGCAGGAACGCACAACCCCATTATCATTTAAAGGAACACTACCTGACACTATAGTGGTAAAATCACTCTCCAGGTGTCCGCCTCCCTTTCAAAAAGTATTTTACTCGCCTCGCCCCGCCTCCATGACTGATATCAACAAATTTGAGAATATCAGCCAATCCAAAGCTTTCCCATAGGAAAGCAGTGGGAGGCTATTGCGCATGTGTGACAAAATGCAGTACTGCGCCAACCAGCATCTCCTCATTGAAATGCATTATATCAATGCACCTCTATAGGATGTGTTCAGCGTTTCCATGCAGAGCGTGGAAACGCTAAACATAAGTGCTGCACACAGGGCCAATCCTATGGTCACAGAGGTCTGGGTGCAGAAATTTTTTTGGCGTCCCAATGTGGGCATGGTCATCTTATTAACTCATCCCCTTTACAAATGTCCAGATATTCATGCAACAACTCCACCTATCCATCTATAAGGCCCACCACTTTTTGTAATCAGTCACACACTCTCATTGAGAGAGACACACTGACAGACACACATTGGCAGACACATTTTCAATGTCAGACACACAATCTCACTGATTTGAAACACACTCACTCACTGACAGACAGACAGACAAACACACATACTCACTCAATGACAGACACACACACTCACTCACTGACAGACACACACACTCACTAACAGACATGCACTGAAAGGCACGCAGGCACACTCAGCGACAGACACACATACTGACAGACACACACTCACTGACAGACTGATACACTGACAGACACACCTTTGCTGCGATACCCAATGCCTGCAGTGATTGGGAAAATTAGTGGTCTTGTTTTCAGTGGCATTGCTGTACATATATACTTTGGACAGTGCACATCAGCTGTATAGCTTGAGGATGGCTGACAGAAAGATTATTTTAACACGTCACTGACAGACACACACTCACTGACCCACACACACACACTGATAGACTTACTCACTGACAGACACACACACACACTCTCCGACCACACATTGACAGTTACTCACTGACACACATTCACTGACAGAAACACACACACAGATATACACACACTCACCGACAGCTATACTCAATGACAGACACACACACTGACAGATACACTCAGACATTCTTGCACACTCTCACAAATTAATTTTATTTTTTGAGGTCCATTCTGCCTCCCTACCCTTTCCTGGGGTCCATTGTGGAGCTGTAATCTTGCAGTTCCTCACTCCTCCTGCGTGCTGTTTAGAATGCCGGGCCGGAATGACATCATATTCCGGCTCCTGGCATCACAGAGCACATGAGGGGAAAGTAAGAAACTGCAAGCCTTACTGAATTAGCGCTGCTTTGGAGGCGCACCTTGTGACAGGGCTCCTCTCAGCGCCCTCCACCTTTGGGCGTCTGGGTTCAGTGCATTCAGTACACCTACTAAGGATCTGCCTGGTTGCTCATTGTGCAGCACTGACCCAGGATGCACGTCCAGTCTGAGTGACTGCACTTACAGGTGTTACTAGGTAGAAATGTAAACACTGCATTTTCTCTGTGTTTACATTAAAATGCCTGCAGGCCAGGGACAGGCTGCAGACACCAGAACAACTACATTAAGCTGTAGTTGTTCTGGTGACTATAGTGTCCCTTACTGTTCACTGACAATAAGACAATAAAATAACTATGCCAAAATGGCATTTAACAAATAGGATTGGTGCCAAAGAAACCTGAATAAGTGGAACTTGCTATATATTAACTTCAAAAAATATTGTTCTCAAAATTCAGTCACCAGAATTGACGATGGCTGATGGCACAACACTAGTCAGGAATATTGGAAGAGACATTGTATAACCTTTATATAGTAAACAGATTACTGAAGGCCCAACAGATACAGTCTTTGTTTCCTGTGACTACACGACCAGTGAATATCAGCATATATAAGTGCCTTGATTACTGTCTCATCTCACATCATGGACACTTGCAAATACTTTCAATGACAACACACATACACATACTCTGGCAGCCTGATCGGCCAAAGATACTGAAGTTTCCAGGTAAATATCCCAGTAGGCCAGTCCAGGCTTAGAGTGAGTTAAAGGGACACCTTAGGCACCCAGACCAATTCAGCCCATTGAAGTGGTCTGGGTGCCAACTCCCATCACCCTTAACCCTAAACATGTAATTATTGCAGTTTTTTAAGTCCTCCTCTAGTGGCTGTCTGGGTTCTTAGACGACATTCACTATACACATACTACATCCAAAGTATACATTCAAACACTCTGCATTCACTATACACAGACTCTGCATACACTACATCCACTACACAAACACACACTCTGCATTCACTATACACAGACCCTACATCAACTACACATGCTGCATCTAATACAAACACTACATCCGCTACTCAAACACACACTACATCCACTACACAAACACACACTCTACGTTCACTATACACACTGCATCTGCTACACACACACTGTATCTAATACACACAAACACCACACCCATTACACAAATGTAAAATCTGCATCCACTACACACACTGCATCCATTTTCAACTTACTCTGCGTCCACTTTACACGCGCACACTGCATCCATTTTCCACTTACTCTGCGTCCACTTTACACACACACTCTGCAACCTCTTTACACATGTACTCTGCGTCCACTTTACACACTGCATCTGCTGCACACACTGTATCTAATACACACAAACACTACATCCAATACACAAATGTAAAATCTGCATCCACTATACACACTGCATCCATTTTCAGCTTACTTTGCGTCCACTTTACACGCGCTCTGCGTCCACTTTACTCGCACACTCTGCATCCACTTTACACGCGCACTCTGCATCCACTTTACACGCGCACTCTGCATCCACTTTACACGCGCACTCTGCATCCACTTTACACGCGCACTCTGCATCCACTTTACACGCGCACTCTGCATCCACTTTACACACTTTCTAAATCCACTATACACACACCACTTTCAGAACTGCATTCTTGTGGGTTTACTCAGGAAGAGCCCTGCTAGCGGGCCCTGGGTCCTTCCATTTTGTTTCTTCTTGATTTCAGACATTGAACTGTATCTTCGCTATTTTAAGCGGTTAAAATTCATATCAAGATTCTAAAACTAAATAAATATCTGATCAAATCATATATAAATCATTGTTTTATTCAAAACTTTGCATTTTAAACTTGTCTGGACTTGAAACCTAAAAAAACCAAGGGCAAACACTAGCAATTAGGTGGTAATTTAGGGAGTAACCCTAAAAGGGCAGCCCACAAAACACATAATATCATATATCACCCTCTACTGACAATCTGACACTTGCTTTGTGTCATAAATACCATATTGTTCTCATTTTGATAATGTATTTTAATATACTTTGTTACACCCATGTGAAACCTATTCATTTATTTTGCATGTCACACCCAACAATTAGGACAGCATCATGGAGGACTTGTGCTGGTCTGCCTGTGATTAGTGAGAGTCACATTCCTGGCAAACAAATACCATCATTTTAATTGTGTCAGTAGGGGAGCACTATTCAGTCAGCTTTATTCTGTCTCCCCAGATCCTCTACTGACACAGCATTATTGGCAGACACTGAATTAATACGGTGGCAGCTACATATGGCAGCTGTTGTCCAGGAGTGTAATTCATGCCAATTTCAAGTACACAAGCAAATGTATGTTTTAATATTGCCTAACGCTAGCACGAAACCTAATAAATAAATAAAATGTCCTAAAAAAACAAAATATATTTATATCTTTTCACACACTGACGTGTTGCCTGCTCTTACACGCCAAAATAATAGAAATCTGTTATTCAAAATTCATTGTAAATCTAAAATGAACCCCATATACAGTTTTATAAAAACATATTACTTGTACTATTCCAAGTGTCAGAAAGACAAAGGTTCATTTGTATGGCTCGCTGCGAATAGTAAAGGTTGCAGTTACCCCATGTACCATCTTACCAGGGATATCCTTTGCACTGAACCTATTGCTATAATATCATATATAACTGTACAGCAAGCAAATTATACCATAGCAACAAATGCAAAAATAAAACAAAATTCTTGTATTGTAAATTATTTTACAGTAACACCAACTGATGGAATAAGAGGCAATGGTATATGTTGCAAAGCATGCAGAGGATAAGCCTGGGTAAAAGAAACAAGCAGACATTTAGGGTCCATCTCCAAATTGTCTATGGGGTCCATATAATTCAATCCACCATTTTATAGGCGGAATTTTCTTCCATCGATTTTTTTTCCTTTCCTCTTTTGCAAAAGTTAATAATGCATAAATAATCTGGGATATCAGATATCTAAATGTATTGTGTGGTTGTATGTTTAATTATTCTAATCTAGTTTTCTTTTGTTTTCCCATGTTATTACTATTTATTGTCCTGATCCATTACTGACCAGTATTTGTTATTAGAAAGTATAATATAATGCTAAAAAAAAAAAATAAAATAAAAAAAAATGCACCTCTTATTCGTCTTGAAATGCAGTACTTGCTGCTAATAGATGTTTAGGAGACTTTGAGATTCAATTCAGTGGGATGGCGGGATAAAATAAATGTATATATTATACTTACAGAGCATGGAATCTCAGGAACAAGCCTCTAGAATTCCTGCTTGTTTCTTGAAAACACAGAAGCCGTGACTGGATTATTCCTTATATACTGTCTGCAGCCACACACGCACACTCACACACACAGTGGCAGAGACAGGTCCGGTAAGTTTCATTTCCCCACACACGAAAGAGAAAAATGAAACTCCTACAGCACAACGAATTGCACCCTACATCATCTGTTAACATGTTCCTGCCTGGCTAGATTTATACAGGGATTAACCCTTCAAATGCCCTGCTCAGATTATCTAAACTCTGTGAATTGTGATTTCAGAACATGATTTCACTATGCAGAAAGTATGTACAATATGTAGACGTGTGTATGTAGAAGTTTAAAGGTACCTGTCACTTATCTGAAATATGCACAATTGAATAAATCATTGTATTTTTTTTTTTTTTTTTACATTTACATGGAAGATCTGGCCAATGACCCAGTTCAGAAAAGGCAAAGAAAGGACACATACTGGAGAGAATAGATATAGAAACAATGTTTAATTTCTCCTGTTTTCTGTATGTTTGCTTTTCCTTATGGCAACTGCTGGTGCAAAGGACAAAGCTAAGAATGACTGAGAGGAAGTCAAGATTTGGGCTAGTTGTTGGTTAAAAAGGTGTGGATTTCGACATTACAAACTAAGCTAAACTTAAAATTTTATCATTGCAAAAAGATAAAAATCTTAGCTCAGACAGAGAGCTTCTGGCTCTCTATTGGCTGTAGTGGAGTTGCAATACATGCACACTGTCACATATACACATTGATGCATAGTTTACCTGTGTATGTGCCTGAGAGGAGAGCGTGACAGGGCGAAGGCTGTAAATGGACAGGGGGGCTGTAAGAGAGAATGAGGGACAGGAAGTATGACATGGTTTGATGAGGGAGTGTGACAGGATAAGTGGAGGTAAGTGTGTCAGGGCAATTGTGGCATTGTAGGAGGGATGAGTGTGACAGGATTAAGGGGGTTAATGTGGCAGAGTGAGGGCAGGTGAGTTTGGAGGGGGTGAGATTAACAGGATTACGAATGGTTAATGTGAGTATGGATGCATGAAGAGGCTGACCGTGTGTGGGGGGGTGATGACAGTGTAGGGAGGGGTGACAATGTGTGGGGTTGCTGACAGTGTGTCTGGGGAGGCTGTGTGTGTGAGGGGGGTGATACTGTGTGTGTGAGAGGGTGATGGTGTGAGGTAGGGAGGGTGATGGTGTGGGGGTGATGCGAGGGGAGAGGGTGATGGTGTGAGAGGAGAGAGGTGGTGATGGTGAGGGGGTGATGGTGAGGGAGGGAGAGAGGGGTGATGGTGAGGGGATTGATGGAGAGGGAGGGGGTTGATGGTGAGGGAGGGGAGTGATATTGAGGGAGGGGGGTTGATGGTGAGGGAGGGGGGTTGATGATGAGGGAGAGCCCAGACAGCGTGAGGCCTTAGGCGGCCGCCTAATTAGAGAGCCGCACCTGCTCTGGAGTGTTTAGCATTATAGGGATTTAGAGAAAACGTACCTGTGATGGACCACCTGTTCACCTAGGACTTGTACATGGCTCCCAGTGGCCACCTTCTCCCAAAAGAACTATGATCACACACTTAGTCCCCCTCCAGACTTTTCCTCCCAGCTTAGCCCAGGGAATCTCAGAGACTGGCTGGCTGAGAGCAACCTACAAACCTCCTGGAACTCCAGACCGGATCATGGAGTTGCCGCAGTCCAGTCAAACTTCATCAAGGTCGCTCAAACAGGATCACCAAGCAGGGCGCTATTTGGAGGGGTTATAGAGGAGGTGGTAAGGCACTGAACAACAACAGGGACTTGAGGGAGGTCTATGTACTAACTTCGATGAACTCCATGTACTAACTTTGATGAGCTCCATGTACTAATTTCGAAAGTGACCAGGACTTCTCACCTAGGACTATGGAACTCTGCGCTTGATAAGAGGAAGCTCGCAGCCCAGTCAAAACAAATTATCCAGACAATTTAGATTTGACACCTCTCATCTGAACTCTTCTTGGACTAAACTCCTGTCTAGGGGTTAGCTATCTGCTGGTGGCATCAGATTGGGGATGCTGGCAAGTGAAATTGTGTTTCGAGGTGTATTACCAGTTGGTGCTTAGGTGTCTGGCCATTAATAAAGTTAACTGGTCAGATACAGACACCCAAGTATTGTGAAATGCTGTTGTTTTTCTGGTGACACCCCATTGGGGATTCAGGTATAAAAAGGAGACAGTCATTCCAATAAAGTGTGTATTATTTTACCCTTACATCAAGCATCAGCTGTTAGAATGTGGGGAATGGGTTGGGACATTAAGTGACTTGTCACATACTTCCCAACTGTTCCAGATTTGACAGAAGTGTCACGAGTTCAATATAATATCCCATTGAGAAAAAGAAAAAGATCAGTAGGGAAACAAAATCATTGTTGCAAATCTATCTAGGGGTATTTCTTGCACTCAGTGTTTCTTGGGTGACTTGTGCCGGACGAGATTTGTCTTTTTTCTCTGGAAGGTGTTTCTGGTGCTCAAATGAGGGAAACACACTATTCCGCTTTTGGGATCCTGTCCCTTTAATTTTTCACTTACTCAAACGAGTATGAGGGGAAGGAGGAGCAGGAAATTTCTCCTCATACAAGGAACTGGCAGAAGAGACCAGCCACTTTTCTTTATTCTTTTTTGTAAAACTAGGACCATATCCTCCTCAGAAGATGAAGAGGATAGCTCTTATGGAGCTTTCTAACTTTGATGGGGCTGCCTCTAAGGGAGGCATCCTCTAAATCTGTGGCAGACACAGATATGGAGTCCTCCATCAATGATGTAATTTTAATAATCTGAGGTAATCAGGATTCCCGAGCTCAGAACGGCTCTCCTGATTACCTGATTGGCTGAAACACTGTTGCTGTGCAGGAGCGCAGTGTGAGCATTTTTTCAGCTGTGGCTGCCACATACCCACTAGCTTTTGCTAGGTTGTTATGCCTCCCGGAGGTCAAATAACGATGTTATGAGGGAGGATATACCAGGACGTAGAAGGAACTAAAGGGAGGGTGTGGCAGTCATATTGATATTATGTACAAATATAAACAATTAACAACCTTCGTAGATGTGGCAAAACTAGCCACTTAAGAAATGTATGTGGGTAAAATGTTTCATTTTTCGTTTATTTTCCCTTTTATTACATGTATATGTATAGGGCATTCGTGTGCTTGCAGCATGCGAATGCCGCCGAGTTCCGCTTGGACTTCCACGAACAGTGATTTTCAAACACTGTTCGTGAAACGAACAAACTGCCGATTTGGAGACCACACAACGGGGATCGTGTGTCTCCAATTAACTACTGCAACAATGTATCTCCAGTTTATTAATGGGTTTCGTGGGTGGCCGCCGTTCGTATACTGAACACGTGGCGGCGGCCATCTTTGTTCATGAAAGCCAAGCAGTGTTTGGTCAATGAGTGCCTGGAACTAAAATCGGCTACTCGACTTACCGAACACCGCTGGACTTCCAGGCCGTTCGTGCAAATAATTATTTCGGTAGATTAAAGCTTTTCTTATATTCTCCAGGTACAATGTCTGTTCACCTAAAGTTGTATTTCGCATGGCGTTCTTTTATTTCTGCAGGGATCTGAGCGGTAATTCACCAGACGGTGCACTCAGATCATTCGACTAATTCCGCTCACTATTTTACAAGTTATGCATTTTAATGTATAATGGTATGTTTTACTGTATGGAGAGAAAATGTGATTATCAGTACATTCTTACACAATTATCTCTCCTGTACAGCATGGCCTGGTGGGAAAAGACCTTGCAAGGTCAGTTTCCCACACAGTCCCCTTGATTAAAACCCCTGTAATACCAGTTTGTAAACCCCTTGCATGGGGAACTGCATAAATACCGTGACCTGTGAATAAAAGCTCAGTTGACCTCCAAGCTATTTGTCGTCTAGTTCTTGGGAGGAAGAGATTGTTATTACGCTACCTGTGTTTTACCTGCTTATCCTGACTACCAGTAGAGGTATCGTGGATTAACCCCTACTACTCCGCTACAGTAGATATTTGTGGTCGTTGGGTATGCTGTAACCAGAGATGTACCTGTGGGATTTAGAACTAGGTATGGCATTGGTCATGCTTTATTCTACAGAGACGTTCAACTTCTCCTGCAAGAGAAGACCAAATATGGGAGATGCCCTGCGGCATACAGCCGTATTAAAACAGATTGCCATCTTACCTTGGGGTGGCTCCAGGCCTATTCTGGCACCATAACCACCACATTGGCCTAATAGTATATTTATAGTTTAATAGGACACTCTATGCACCATAACTACTTTAACTTATTGAAGTATTTATGGTGCAAGTGTACTGTTCTTCTAGTACTGTTCTTCTTAAAGGGACACTCCAGGCACCCAGACCACTTCTGCCCATTGGAGTGGTCTGGGTGCCAACTCCCACTACCCTTAACCCTGCAAGTGTAATTATTGCAGTTGTTTATAAACTGCAATAATTACCTTGCAGGGTTAACTCCACCTCTAGTGGCTGTCTACTAGACAGCCACTAGAGGGCACTTCCTGGATTATAGCACAGAAAACCTGTGTGAGGACCTCCAGCGTCGCTTAATTCCCCATTGGAAAGCATTGAAAAGCATTTTCAATGCTTTCCTATGGGGAGCACTAATGCGCATGCATGGCATTGCAGCGCATGTGCATTAGGTCTCCCCGGCTGGCCGGTGGGATCAGTCTCGCCCACCAGCCGACGTAATGAAGAGGAGGAGAGGCGGCGGAGTAAGAAGCAGCGACATGTCCCACGTCTGGTAAGTCACCAGGGATGGGAGGTGGGAGGGAGAAGGGAAGGATTGTTTTCCTGGCACTGGAGAGTCCCTTTAAGCTTGACTATATTGTCACCTCCTGACTCAGAGAACAAACAATGTGCTGACACAGAGGGACTTACCATTGCTGCAAGTAAAATACCTGGCCCTCTCTATGTGTTAATTGGTGCTGCACATGTAACAATCCCTCTGAGCAGCTCCTGCTAGTCCCTTCCATGCCAGCA